GGTGTCAAAAATTTCGTTGCACCGTTCGTTCGCGTTGATGGTGGAGAGTTTGCACTCATGTATGATATGTGGGGTGAGGCGGGGACCAAGAAGTTGAGTGAACGAATGTGGTAGCAACTGATAAGAACTGATAAGGGGCGTCAAAGTGTGGATACCACCAGTTTCGTTGCGGCCCTTGCGGTTACATTGGAACCTTGGCTCTCACATGTGGTATAGGGGATGGGACGGGAACACGGATAGCGGATGATCAGAAGTGATAACAAGCGATAACGGTTGATAAGGAAGTTAGGATTTTGAGTACTGCTAATTTCGTTGCAGCCTTCGTGGTGACAGTAAATATTAGCTCCTACACGTTGCCTGGAGGTTGGGACCGGGACACCGATTGCGAACAGTATGAACTGATAACAAATGACAAGGAATGATAAGAGCGTTTGAATGCAGGTCTCTCCAACTTCGTTGCAATTATCACTGGCAAGCGATCAAGGTGGCGAGGGTTGAATGTAGGTGACAGAAAGTGGTATGAGCGGCAACTGTACTGATAAAAGTAGCGACAGTTGAGCGTGCACTCAGTTGAACTAAACCAGGTCCCTAGCACGTGAATATGTTCCATTCCTACCCTTTCATCTAAAGAAGCAAAGAAAGTTGAGCTGCTCAACTATCTGGACTTGGACCAATAGCGAATTTCCATCATATTTCCAATTTCCATCAGCTCGGTTAGATGCTGATTGATTGGTTATATTTCACTTACACACCGATTCTTCAATTGTGGAATTCTATAAACCGCTAAATCATCCGAGCTCGATATCAATGCTAAATGTTTACGAAGTCATGATAAGTACCATTTTCATTCCGCATGCTACTGCGCGCATTACGCTACAATCTTCAGCAAAATTGGACAGCCTTTGAAATTCATGTGACACATCTTCCAAACATCTTACTGTTAGTTTCTCAGCCACGTGACCTAATATTCAGCAAGTTGTCCAGTTTCACTAAAGCCTACCATGTGATGCGCGCGGTTGCGTGCGGAGCTAAACTGGTTCGTATTAACTGGATCCACTTTTGCTCCAATATGAGTGCCATAATCTGACGCTTTTGCTTCGGAGTCATGAATTTGAGTGGAAAAGGGGTGGGGGGATGTAATGAAGGTTCTGGCTCTTTTAGTGCTTTAGAGTATTGCTTTCGACGAAAACGCATACTCACTGCTAGAACACGAATAAACCTTTCGTCCAAAATGATCAGAGGGAAAAAAGAAGCAAAGTTTTGCACGCATTGAGTATGGATGGGAAGGAGAGGAGTGTTACACCATCGAAAGCACGCGGAAAGTGATCGTATAAAACAGAGTATTTGGTGCTGGCAATTACTATTGTGTTTTCAGCGAAGAACACGATTCAACTCAAGTAAAGACCTGATTGAAGATCTTCACGCACAACTCAAGAGAGTACTGGATTTGAAGGCCAAGTAAGCAGTTCAGTGAGCATTTTGTCACATTCTTCCTGGGAAAACCAGCAGTAGAATTCCCAAGCTTTCTCATTCCTACCTCATTAGGAATTGCAAGTTTGTTGCTCGAAGATCCCGTTTTAGTTTCACTGGGATTGTCATAAGGGTTAACCGAGCGTTACGCAGATTTCGAAATTTTTACGACCCTCCCTCCTTTTCACAATTATCAGATTTCATGCCAATCATCGATGTATGGGCCGTCATCGGCACGGAAAGAGGTGGTAGACAACATCGTCTGAGCGAGTGATCTACGTGCTCATTAAGTAGTGGTTGCTGTTTCCCGTGGTTACCTAGTCACTTACAGTAGCGGTCAAAAGTTTGGAAACTTTTTTATTTTTGATCTAGCGCGGCCGATACATAACGAAATTGTCCCAAATTTAGATATTACATACAAAATCAAGTTCAGAATACGACGGGAAGAATAATTTCCAAAAACCTATAATCATATTTGAGAAATAAGATTTTTTCAAGTAATGGCGCGTCAAAAGTTTGGAAACTTTTTGTTTCCCTCATCATTATGATTCCTACTCTTCAATGTTCACTTGTTTCTGTTAATTTTAGTTCAACCATTGAGTAATGTGTAATTTCAAAATGAATTCATATGCAAAGGAAGCAGTTTTTCCATGGGAGGTTTTTTTAAACCCTACAATCCGGAATACGAAATTGAAATTGTTTCTTAGTAGTTCAGTCTCTACGGAAGCAATATTATCGAATGTTTCTAGCGTTATTGGAGTCGAGTAAGCATAAGAAGAATGATCATTCACAAAAAAGTATCCTCACAAGAAAATTGGCCCTCCTCAAATACTTCAAAGGGTGGTTGGCACGTCCCGTACCCCCGACATCCCAACTAAGAGACGACTTTTTCTGGTTTTCCTAATCATATGAAAGTCCAAGTGCAGCCAACATCGGCCGCGACCTGGTGAATATTACGGATGATGTCCCAACAAGAAGCCATTGTTGGGCTTCAAGAGCAGGATGGCCCAACTGGCTTCCGCACACTAACGGCTAACATGGACCGAAGGCGAGAGGTAAAACTTTGTCCTCAGCGACGAATGGGATTTCTGTCTTCCTAGAAATGATGTTGTGGACCCTGTGAAGTGTTTGTCAAATGGAACCTCATTTTGAGTATAAGATTCCAACAGTCAGAAATAGTGGAAGTATTGTCATGGATGAAGATGTGTCCGACCATTCGGCGATTCCCCAGTTCTAGGTATCCAGCGAAATGTGGGTTGGGCTAAGTACAAGTATAGTCTGTAGAATACAATGCTTCCCTTCGATAGTCAGAACTAGCCGAAAAGATGGGTTTTCTATCGTGGAAATGACCCAATGCAGGCCTACCTCCTCACTGCCGCCTTCCTAAACCCAGAAAAAGAAGCTGTTATGAAGCGACCAAGTCAAGATCTAAAGTCTAATTGAGTTCTACATCCCACGGAAGAACTGGCATGTCGCTCAACCCACATTCCAGTTAGGAATTCCACCAAACAATGTGATTTAGTTTACAGTGTGTAGGGTTCTTGTACATGGGTTCTACCTTGTAGTGGTGTACGAGCTTGAGGCGGGAGCGGAATATCCTTCAGGATAGGGCTGCGCCGAAACCCCATACCGATTCCCCGTGACTAAAGAACCCAAAGTGCCCAAGCCCTTGGTGGGACGGCGCTCTCCTTGAGCAACGGAAGACACCACGACCACTTCTTATTCCCGCCTTAGTCCCCTGCAGGCTGCCTCTGCCCAGTCAGGTAGCGCTGGATCAGCAAACAGCCAAAGGCGAAGAAATCTCAGGGCCGTAGGCTACCAAAGGAGACGGACAAGAGCGAGCCAGCTGATCGCCTGCACCTACAACTGTCGAAGTGTCAGCTCGGCCGCTCAGCTTTCGGCACTCATTGATGAAGCTCAACGGATCAAGTACCATGTAATTGGCTTGAGCGAGACGAAGCGGAAAGAGCCTCTATCGTGTACCTGGACGGATGGAACTTCGGTGTTCTTAGGAGCCCGGAAAACGGATTCAACATCGGGAGGTGTTGGTTTCATTGTGTCACCGAAGTTCTCCAAGCATGTACGGAGCGTAACGTTTCATGGGCACCGACTCGCCACATTGACCGCGTGCCTTTCGAAAGATTCGCAAGTTACCATCATACAGGCTTACGCGCCTACAGCAGACAGCGATGAAGAGCAGCATGACATCTTCTATGAACAACTCGAGGACCTCGTGAGCAGCCAACGTGGCTACGTCGTTGTGATGGGAGACTTCAACGCTCGAATTGGATCCCGAAAGGCCGGCGGACCTTCGGGATCCAATTCGACGGTATGTCTTTATCGGACCACATTCCGCTGAAGTGCGCAACGAACCTGGAGAAAGATTGGCGAGCTTTTGCGAGTCGCACCACCTCTACCACGGCAATAGTCAATTTTCAAGGCGCTCCGTAAAAGGTGGACTCATATGTCTCCGAATGGACAGCACTGCCACGAAATTGACCACATTATGTGCAATCGAAGAATAATGACGGATGTTGCGGTTGTCCCTTCTTTCAACACGGGGAGCGACCATCGTTACTGCGAGGGCGATTCCACCTCGACCGCGGTTTAATGCGCCTGATGCGCATACGCTCTAGGCGGCCCTGCCCCACTGTGATGGACGAAGATGCGGTCGCGAGGCTTGCAAACGAAGAGCTGTATGAAATGGTGGATGACATCAACGCCGACTATCAGAACCTCGTTCAAACACTAACGGCTATCGCAGACAGTTGCCGCAAAATTGCCCCCAACCACAGTTCGCGTCGCATCTCGGCGTCTACTAGGGCTCTACTCGAAAAGCGAAGAAATATGGATCGGCAACAAACCACGTGGAGTACACCTTGCTAAATAGATTATGTAGGCAACGCATCGCTGAAGATCACGCCAATTTCGCAAGGTCGAAACTTCTAGTTGAGGCAGAGAACAGGCGAAGTTTGAAGAGGGCAAAAAGGAAAATTGCCGAGCATCGTCTCAAGATTCCATGCTTGAAAACCGCAAATGGAACTCGTTGCTGCTCTATACCTGAGATGGAGGAAATCGTGGCAGCATTCTACTCTTCCACTCTTCAGATCGGAACTTCCAATCGTCAGGGAAAGAAGACCAGTTCTGAAGGAAGTGCTCCCTTTTCTAACATCGGAGGTGCGCCATGCCATCGAAACAATGCCTCGAGACAAAGCGCCGGGAAGAGACGGCATCACCACAGAACTCCTACGTGCATGCGGACCCCCTTTATATCGAGCACTTGCAAGGAGGTACACTCGCTATCTGGCTGAATGTGCGGTTCCAAGCGGCGTGGAAGCAGTCCTCGACGGTGCTGCTGTTCAAGAAAGGCGACAAAGAAGATCTAGCGAATTATCGCCCTATCACGCTTCTGCCAGTACTTTATAAGGTGTTCACACGCTGCATACTGGCACGTATCCGCAGGCCACTAGAAGAAGCCCAGCCGATAGAACAAGCGGGTTTTCGTCGGAAGCTTCAGCACTCTGGACCACATCGTAACTTGCCGACGCCTCATCGAAGCAGCCCGTGAGCACCGCCTTCCTCTCGTGATGACCTTCATTGACTACAAGAAGGCATTCGATTCGGTGGAGCCAGTGAAGGTCTGGGAGGCGCTGGAAGAGCAAGGCGTTGAAAGGATCTACGTGGATGTACTGCGAGAATGCTATTCTGAATGTACAACAGTGTTTCATCCTTTCTACAATGATGTTGTTGTAGCAGTTCAGAAGGGCGTACGGCAAGGTGATCCGATATCGCCAAACCTGTTTTCCGCATGCCTAGAGCACGTCATACGTCGCTGCGACTGGAGCAACTTTGGCGTCAACATCGACGGTGTGCGTCTCAATCATTTGCGTTTTGCCGACGACATCGTGTTGATCACAGACTCTCCAGAACACGCCACTGAAATGCTGCATCGTACAGGGAGCCATTATGGTCTGACTATCAATACCTCTAAGACCAAAGTCATGCGAAACCCATTCTCAGGCAGCACTCCCGTACTTTTGAAAGGAAGTCCCATTGAAGACGTTGACGAGTACGTGTACCTCGGGAGCCAGCTTAACATGAAGAACGACCTGGCTGGAGAGCTAGCAAGACGCGCAAGGCTGGATGGGCTGCGTTTTCCTCTATAAGAAGCGTAATAGAAGACACCAAGGATCGCAAACTCCGAGCGGACCTTTTCAACTCAACGGTGTTGCCTGCCCTCAGCTATGCAGGAGAAACCTGGGCACTAACGAAATCACAGGAAAGGCAATTACTATCTACCCAGGCATCGATTGAACGCCGTCTTCTGGGTTTGACGTTGAGTCGCCAACGAGAGCTGAAGCTTCATAATTCTGACGTTAGAGCCATGTCACAGATAAAAGATATTCCTTCACGTCGATGAAGCGAAGCACAGGTTCGCCGGCCACCTGATGAGGAGGGATGACGGACGATGGAGTTCGGCTACTGTGCGATGGTACCCGCGCGAGAAGAAACGGCCGCAAGGCCGTCCTCCTTTACGATGGGCAGATTCCCTAGCTCATCGAAACAACATCTATGATCCAGAGTCCTTTAGGGTGACCACACACTGGACAACCATAGCCCAAGATCGAGAACAATGGAAAAGAAGTTGGGACCCGCGCAAGGCCAACCGCCGTGCTGATGGACGGGTCGTCTAAGTATTCTAAGTCTAAGTAAGTAAGTGTGTAGGGTTCTACTTAAAACTCCTAAAATTATTTCCTAATCAACTCCATGTCAATAAAACGACGCCGACATAGAAATTCACAGCTACTCATCGAATAACTAATTTATCATGTGGATTCGAGAGCTATTTTGCCGAATTCGCTTTGGAATTGAGAAGTTTCCAAACTTTTGACGCGCCATTTCTTATAAAAATTCGTATTTTTCAAATGCGATTCTCGTTTTCAAAAAATTATGTTGCTCATCGTAATCTACACTTGATTCTGAATATA